TTTACTGGCATAAAAGTGTTCAACAATCTGCCACAAAGTATTAAAAACTTGGGCAATGATACTAAAAAGTTTAAATCAGAGTTAAAGAATTATCTACATGCTCATTCCTTCTACTCTTTAGATGAATACTTCAATGTAAATAGAGAATGATGTAAAATTAAGTTATATTAATTTTTAAGCTAAAATTGCCTGTACTTATGTATGTAACCTTTTGACTTGTTCTGTATCCAAAGGTACTAACCTGCTTAGGATTTATAGAATGTAAATAAATTCAATTCAATTCATTTGCATCTATAAAAATTTAAATCTAAATAATAAGTAAAGATAAACTCCTGAAACAGCTTCAAGTTTCACAGTTGGGGCAACATTTTGTACTTATACGAAAATTCTTGGAGAAGGTTATAGCTCTCTTATGTGCAGAACTACCTGGCATTTTTGTGACCGTAATTCGTAGAGAGCAACCTGTCCATTCTTAGCTCCAACTGCTATACGTCGTGTGCTTGGACAGTGGCTAACTTGGTTGAACCTACAAATGGCTGGGAAAACTTCGGTAAGTCCTTTCACCTTAAGATGACCAGGGTCCAAGCAATGCAGTACAATGTCCACCACCTATAACAAGGGAAAAAATAATAAGGAATATTTTGAACTAACACTGAATACAGGAGCTGAGATAGCTCATTCAGCACAGCAAGTCTATAGGCTGGACAGCCAGAGTTTGATTCCTCACAAGGACAAGAGATTTTTCTCTTCTCCACAGTGTTCCTAGCTCCGAGAACCACCAACTCTTCTATCCAGTGGGTATCAGGGGCTCTCCATGTTTCCTGTTGAGTCGTTTTTCACACCAATGGACAAGAATTGCAGCAAAAGGGAAACACAGTAAGTGTCAATGCTTCAAGAACCTCCATTCATGTTATTTCTTAGGTGAAATTTTCAAAATCTTTCTAAACAAACTTATACTCCTACTCTTGTGAGCTGGGATAGCATAGTCAGTATAGCGACTGGCTATGAGCTGGATGACCTAGGGGTCGGAGTTCGAGTTCCGGTAGTCATGAATTCTTCCCTTCTCCATGCAGTCCAGACTGGCTTACTGGGGGCTCTTTCCCTGGGGGCAGAGCAGCCGGGGTGTGAAGCTGACCATTCATCTCCAACTAGTGCCGAGGACAAGAAAATATGGATCTATATATTCATTCCCCAATACACCATCATGTAGTGCTTAATTAGTTAAGTACAGGGACAACTTTACCTTAACTCCTAATTTTAGCAAGGTGCAATTAATAGCAAAGGTGAGCTGCAAAGAGAAGTTACGTTAAAGACTCCACAACATCATAATACACAATTCTTTGGGCGAAGCTGTGAGCATGTCATGCAGCAGATATGGGGGAAACTAATTTGAGTCAAAGGACCTTTTCTTACAGCACAATACTGAGGCCATGTCGGTTAGTATTTCTATTATTAATGATACATTTTCCCCCTACTTAACACTTTGCGGACCGCGCACCCTTTAAAAGGTTTTTCGCTTTTAAACATGGCGGACCGTTCGCGTGTTAACAGGTTTTTAAAACACGATAAGTTGCAACACACTATACATCTCTCTGGCTCCACCTAGCTAGCACGTAGCTGCTTGCAGCTGCATTATAAGGCTCTGGAATGTCTGCTGACCAATCAGTTACTAGACCTCGCTGTAACTCTGTGCCCTGCAAACGAAAATAAATGCCTTTATTTCTTCAAGCTTTACGTAGCAAGCTGTCAGTCAGTAGTTCAATATGGATCAAAGACCAAAGCGGTTGGTTGACACCCAAGTGATTTCTTGGAGAACAAGAAATATCTGACTTCTTCTCCGATGAGCAATCTGATGTCCCTTGTGAGTCTGCTAGTGATAGCGACTCACAATCTGATAGTGAGTGTCGCAGGGGCGAACAAAAAATTGTGATCACAGACAGTGAAAGTGAAAGTGAAAGTGAAAGTGACTGTAGAACCGACAAATTTGCGGGTAGCAACATTGTGGGGACAGCCACATGGGGAAAAGTAGACAAAACGTCTGCTTTGGGACAGTTTACTGGAAATCCAGGGGTGAAGCAAATTCCATCGGACCCAACGTAAGTGTCTGAATTAGCGGAACTGTTTTTTGGAGATAGTTTCTTTGACATGCTATGTCAGGAAACTAACAGATACTATCTCCAACACCATGAACATTATGACAGAAGTCATAAGGCACTGAAGTGGGTGGATGTCACTTCAGCAGAAATGAGAAAATTTTTTGTAATTATCTTTCTAATGGGCCATACAAGGAGGGATAATCTGAAAGAGTATTGGTCAACAGATACATTTTTAGAAATTCCAATTTTTGGCAAACTAATGAGCCATAAGAGATTTGAGCAAATTTGGTGGTGTTTGCATTTCAATGATAATGAACTGCAACCACAATCAACAAGCAGGCTTTTCAAAATTCAGCCCTTATCGAACTTTTTCGTTCAGAAATTTCAGACAGTTTATAAGCCAAACCAACAACTGTCTTTGGACGAATCTGCGATTCTTTGGAGGGGAAGGCTTCATATGCGAACATATAATCCTGGGAAACTTACAAAGTATGGCCTACTTGTTTGTGTAGTTACTGAAAGCACTTCAGGCTATACTGGAAATTTAGAAATTTATTCTGGTGAAGGAAAGAAATTACAAGAAACCATTCTTTCCGTTTTGGAACCCTGTCTTGATCAGAGGAATGTAAATCCCTGAAACGTGGTGAAACCACATTCAGGAGGAAGGGGGAGGGATCCTGGAGGGATACTCGTGTTGTGAATATGATTTCCACAATTCACAATTCGAACATGGTTGATGTTCAAAGGAGACATGGACAGGTAAAGCAGCCTGTTTGTATTTCCAGGTATAATATGTTCATGAAGGGAGTTGATAGAGCCCATCAGTACTTGGCCTATTATTCTCTTCCTCGGAAAACAGTAAAGTGGACAAAGGAAGTTGCCTTATGGCTTATAAATTGTGCCATTTTCAATTCATTTTTGGTTTTCAAAAATCTAAACCCTCATTCAAAATTGAAATACAAGGAATTTCTGCTGAATGTGGCAAAAGCCTGGGCTACGGACCACACGGTGGCAGACACAGTCTTAGTATGACAGGGGCCATCTACTCCCACCCCATGCAGGCCTCATTTTGACCCCCCTGGGCAACTCTCGGGTGATATGCGGAAACATACCCTCGCGAAAATTGTGAAGAGTGAACATTTCAAGGGGAAGCAGACTTCTAGGCAATGCCACATTTGCGCAATTCACAAGAAAAGGAGTAGGACTGCCTATATTTACAAGTTTTGTGTAATGCCACTTAACAGAGGGGAATGTTTCTAGAAACAGCATACCGTCAAGCACTTCTAGAAGCATTGGTAAGTGTTCTCAAAAAATTGTAGTTCATAAAATTAATTAGGAGATTTTATATTAATTTTTAAAGTGAACAGTGCACAAGTTAGGGTAATAGGTATAAAAATGCCGGTCCGCAAAGTGTTAAGTGTATTTAAACAATATGTGGAACTTGTAGGGCCAACTGCAGATATTTGGTGGGGAGTAAGAGGAAGAGTATGAAGCCCATGAAGCAAGTAATGTTTACTAGAAGCTATATTTTACAAATCTTTTCATTTTCTGGGAATGTTATCTGTCACAATGTAACAGCCACTATTCTACCTGATCTGTTCACACTATGCTCATCCTAAAATTCCGCTGTACTGGGAATATTAAATTTATAGATTATTTGGAATTACGAGATACCTTTACAATTATTCTTAAAAATATTAAGGTAATTATATAACTGTGACCTGCACATGATAAAACCTAACCACAGTGAAAAGTGCATAAGCACTAATATTTAAAAAGTATGGTATTATCATCCAGCAGGTTGATATAGTGCTAATGTTCTGCACTTGTTTCATTTTAGTATGTGACATTTTCACCATTACAGTTCTAGTAATTACTGGAATGATGGGCCATCCAGTGCAACAGATTTAATTGAATAGATCATTTTAGATGAGTAGCCTTACATGTTTCTTGTCATGGCACTGAGGATGGCCCCAAGGGGATGAAACATGCAAGGTTACACATCAAGTTTGATCTGTTCTATTTAATTTGTTAAAACAGATGGGCTATTGTTTCAATAATATCTACACTTAAATTAGGGAGGTGCTCCATTTGGATCTTGGCCAAAATTTCTTGTTCTTACCCTTAGTACCTCCACACAAATGCCAGGACAGCACTCCAATATGGACACAGCTGCTTCAATCCAAACGCTTTTCCAGTTCACCATACATCAATCATCCTACCTCTTGACATTATACAGTCTAGTTACTGACAGCACCATAAAGTAAACTACATATGGCATTATTAAGAGGTGACAATGCTGATGATGATAGTGATGAATATAACTATTATTAGAGACATTACTAACGATTACCTCAACAAGCAGGTCAGCCATTTCATTCTGCATTTTATCAATGAGAAGTTCAACACCTCGCAGGATCTCAGGCTTTGCTCTGTGCAGAACAGAATTGCTCAAATTCACATTCAAAGCCTGTGCATTCTGTTGAAGTGTGTTGTACCTGGCAACCTGTAACAGAATAATGTATTAGATAAATGTACTGGGTTACAGTACTTGAAAAATAAAACTTATTATCCATGTTATACTTATATGTAGTTTACGTAATAAACTTTTTGTACGCGTTACACTTACATGTACTTTATTTAGCAATGTTATCAATGACTCAACTATACAGTGTTGAATGATTTGATGATAATGAATAATGAGTTGGAAAGACTGTGGAACGAAGTGGTCATAGTTGAATTTAAGTACTATCCTGGCACTTTCCTGAAGGGGATTAAGAAAAAACACAAAAACCTCAATCAGGATTGTTGTTCTGGCAAAGATCCAAAGTGGGTATTTCCTGAACAGAGGTCAGAAATATTACCGCTTCACACAACTTGATCACTATCACAAATCTTAAGTGGCTCCCTGTTACAACAACCCTTTATTCTCAGGCTGTGAATTAAGGAATTTGCTTCCAGGTATGGAAAGCTGCTGTACATTGATTAAGCAACCACAAACAGCTAACAACAGTTGAGGATCTCTATATACTTGCAGAATTGAGCAGAGCTCTATGAACTCCTCACTCTAAAAACTAGCTGGTTACAAATTTGTCAAAAAGTGAGATCTGGAAGTTCTCATGGTGCTGACTCCTTAACCTTTTTCTACCATGAGGATGGCAGAAGAAGGTTCCTTCGAAACTTATCTATCAAACCATACAGTGTCACATCCCTGGAAACAGCCTCAAAATTCAAAATTGGGCAGTCTTTGGTAACAACACAGTACTGGTACAGTCAAGTGTTCATACACAACTTATTTCTTTCCTGCTTGCAAGCATGAATGTTATGTGCATTTCTGTGAATCACCTTCATGGAAATTTGTCACAGTCATCAAACACACTTAATTTTTGACTAATTATGATACTTTTGTAAATTTTAAATTGTGGTTAGCTTTATGTTTATTTTACATGGGCTATTCAGAAAGCAACCTCTGGCAAAATATTAACAAAACAAGCCATGAGAAAAAAAGTTATTACATACAAAAAATTTGTACATACTGTAACGTGCTTTGTTACTGAAGACGCCGTAGAGAATGTTAATTGGTTTACTGAACAATCTACAAGTAACGGCTACAATTACTTATCACACAGTTGCGGGGTTTCACACTTTATAACCCTAATCGCATTAATCTGTTAACACTGTTGCGGGGTTTCACGACTTATAACCCTATGCGCAAATCAGTTCACTCTGTCTTCAGTAGTCTACACGTTTACAGTAGGGGAGCTATGTATCACTGTATCACACACTCCCAATTACACAATTACACACACGTCCGGTTCTTCTTTCCGCGACGGCTGCTATACTCCAACTGTAGTCGGCTGACTGGAGAACTGTTGATAACACATTCGCTCGTAGGCTTGCTCGGAACTAACTCGGAACTGAACTCGGCGATGGCCACACTACAACTCTCCTCGCAGGCAGCGCAGCTCTCTTATATAGGGGCTGTGTGGGCCTGTTATGTAGCAGTCTGCTTTTACCGGTTCTCACGGTCTCTCCGCTTGCAGATTTCTTATATATTTTTTCTTCTACCCTGAAGATGGAGGCGATACGTTCCTCTGAAACGTCGGTTAACACCACATATACACGGTGCCAAATCCCAGAAGACTGCTTTCTTCTTGGGCATTTTACTTCATAATATTCAGAGTCTGGGTAACAAATTGATGGCTTTAAATGTGTTGTTAAGTTCTTGGTCATTAAAGCCTGCCATCCTATGCTTCTCTGAACATTGGCTTTATAGAGATTATCTTTTACATATTAACACTGATCACTCTAAATTGGTGGCTAACTTATGTAGGAACTCAAATAGATATGGGGGTACTTGTACATTTGCCTCAAAGGATCAAAAAACTAGAGAGCTTCCCTTTGTAGAAAGTCTAGCAAGGGAAAGTGTATTTGAAATTTCAGATATTGAGGTAGTGGATCTGAAAATCATAGTTGTTTGTATATATAGATCCCCAAATAGTAGCAAGGGAATTTTCCTTGAATTATTATTAGAGGAAACCCTAAACAAGGTTAAAATAAAGGGGCATCTCTTAGTGTTACGTGGGGATTGGAACATCAATTTAATAGAGGATAATACCTATCAGAAGGCTTTACAAAGTCTACTCTTATTAAATAATCTACAAAACACGGTTTTATGTCCAACCCATGTTACTTCAGATAGTTGCTCCTTGCTGGATGTTATGATCAGAAATAAAATTTTTTACCATTCAACTACAAGGGTTATAGATATGGGCTTTTCTTATCATTTTGCGTTAGTTATGAGTATACTTGTTCACAGCCCTTCTACCTGTTTAAAATATGTGGTAAAAAGATTTTTTTCAAGAAGAAATGTTGCAAATTTTAAGGATCAACTAAAAATCGAATTATGGGATGAGGTCTATCTTCAATCTGATGTAAATAGTGCCTACTGTGTCTTCCTAAGTAAGTTTTGTAAGTATTTTTTGCATTTTCCCCTTTAAATGTTTTTAACAAGAAAGGGAAAAAATCAAGTTGGATCACACAAGGGATAAAGGTGTCTAAACAGAGGCTGCAACTTTTACGTTTGTTAAAAAGAAAGATGTCCCTGTCAGTTCACACTTTGAAGTATATAAAGAAATATCAGTGAATTTATGAGAAAGTAATTTCTGTTGCCCATCAAAGAGAAAATGACCAAATTATTAAAAGGTGAGTCAAAAATTCAAAACCTCTATGGCCAATAATAAAAAGGAGTCAGGAAATAGTTTTACAGAAATAGAAAACATTTCTTTAGAAATAGACTCTAAGTTAGTTACAAACCCACAGGATGTATCCCAACAATTTAATGAATTTTTTGTAAATAGCGTAGACAATCTGATACATTTAAATAAAAACTGTAAAATTGATCATGCCACTACAAATGATGCGATACAAAATCCAAATGTATTATTTCTTGCCCCTGTTACTGAAGAAGAGGTTCTTCAGGTTACTAGTAAATTAAAAACAAAAATTTCAGGGGTTATGATGAGACTCCAGATATGATAGTTACACAATGTATCCAAACCATAAAAAAAGCCTTTGATTTTTATATTTAATCTGTCAGTAAGTTCTGGCATTTTTCCAAATCAAATGAAGATTGCAAAAGTTCGAACTATTTTTAAAAAAGGTCAGAAACAAATATTTCAAATTACAGACCAATCTCAATTTTGTCTGTTTTTTCAAAAATTCTTGAAACACTGACATACAATAGGGTTGTAAATTTCTTAAATAACTTCAATCTGATATCAAATGCTCTAAATGGTTTTAGAAAGAAATAAATCCATATTTATGGTAATTCAAACTTTTATTGGAGAAATTCAGAAAACTCTAGATCAAGGGTCTCCAAACTACGGCCTGCGGGCCACATCCAGCCAGCGAAAGAATTGTGCAGAAATGCGCAAATTGAACTAATTTTCCAGTGAGTACTGATAAATGTGATTCCGAGGTTACTGACGTGGCATATTATACTGCAGTTCGATGGCTTAGATGTGGAAAGGTTCTTTCGCGCTTCTCTCAACTCAGGAATGAAACTGATATATTTCTTACCAAGAAAAACCATCACAAAACACTTTTATCAGATACCAAGTGGCTTTGGAAATTAGCATTTTTTGCTGCTCTGGTGAACCATATGGACCATTTGAATTTAAAGCTGCAGGGTGAAAATAACTTATTCTGTGATTTATTTGCACTTATCAAGGCATTCAGAGCAAAGTTGATACTTCTGGAAAGCCAAGTGAAAAATTGTAACTTTGTTCATATGCTATACTGTGCAGAGTTGCATAAAAAGGGTGAAGCAGAATTTCCTTCCTCATTTGCAAATTTAGTCATTTCAGGTTTGAAAGAACAATTTCGAAAGCGATTTGCTGATTTGGATTCCAGTGCTAAGGAAATTAGATTGTTTCAAAATCCGTTTGACTGTGATGCTGCAGATATCCCAAGTCAAACTGAAATGAAAATTATTGAACTTCAGGAAAATTATCATATTAAAGACAAACACAAGGAAGGAAATTTGATCGAATTTTATAAATTTCTGAATTCTGAGCAATTTCCAAATTTAAAGAAATTTGCTTGTAAATTTATCTCCATTTTTCGGACGACATATCTGTGTGAACAAACTTTTTCCCAGATGAAGTATATCAAGTCGAAATACAGGGCAAATTTATCCAATAAACATTTTAAGTCACTACTTGTGATTAGCGTTTCAAAATTTGAACCTCAATTTAATCAGATTTTAAGATTGCAAAAAGAGTTCCATCATTCACCTTAATTATTTTATTATAATTTGTGATGAAAATATGAGCATTTGCTGCTACTGTCTCTTGTCATTAATATACGGTAACGTTTTTTGTTACCGATGAAACTGTTCTGCTTGTTAACTGGTTTATTTACAAGCTACAAGTCCAAACTACAATTAATTATAACAAAGTGACGGGTATTGACAAAGTATAAACCCTACAAAATGATCTGTTCAATAGTCTTCTTTGTGTAGTTATAACGTGGGAGCTACACGAGTGTCATTGTATTACAGACTCCCAATTCTCTTGTGAGCCAAGCATCTGCTTCTCATGCTATCACTTCTGATCACATGTTCCGGTATTCTTCTTTCTGCTACCATTGCTAGATTCCAGCTGTCTCTGGCGACGGCTACATTTCAACTCCTTCGTAGGCTGCTACACTTTAACTGCTCACTGCTGACTAACGCACTTGTAGGCAGTGTAGTTCTCTTATGAACCCTCAGCTGGACAAAGGTAAACGCCTTGCTCCCTTGTTGCCTAGTCGCCGTGTTTACAGGTAGTTACTATAGGATTCTGACGATGGTGTATAACACACAGAGATATTGGGTTTTCGGACTTTATCCATCGTCCTGGTTTTTAAGATAACTAAGAAAAGACACGACGTTTCGGTCAGGTGTTTTTACGTCAGGTGAGGTAAAACACCTATTCTGTTGGGTCCCTTAGAAAGAGCTAGCCT